TGCAAAGGGATTTATTTCAACACATGCCTTCCACAGCACAAATGGGCTCGTGACAGCCAACCAACAATGCCCTCTTGTTTCATTAAATGCATTTTGCTGCCTCTGAGCCCATTACAGGAGCAGAATATAATGTGCTATGGGATCCTTTTGAATTGTAAAACAAGATCCAGGAACATCTAGTATGTTGACATATGATATCATCATTCTTACCCTATTCTAGCCTTGGATATGAGAAGCAAGAACTGAAAAAGTATAGGGAAAATTCTAGATAATGATGTATCTATTTTGGGTTTCTAGTATAGAAGATGACTTTTCAAGCTGAAGTTTTTTGAGTTTGCCAACACCTTGCATGAGCTGGAGAATCCATTCTCCTTTTCACCATACAGGTAAAACTCGAAAAATTAGAATATCGTGCAAAAGTTCATTTATTTCAGTAATGCAATTTAAAAGGTGAAAATAATATATGAGATAGACTCATTACATGCAAAGCAAGATAGTTCAAGCCGTGATGTGTCATAACTGAGATGATTATGGCTTACAGCTCATGAAAACCCCAAATCCACAATCTCAGAAAATTAGAATATCGTGAAAAGGTTCAATAGTCTAGGCTCAAAGTGTCCCACTCTAATCAGCTAATGAAGCCATAACACCTGCCAAGGGTTCCTGAGCCTTTAAATGGTCTCTCAGTCTGGTTCAGCAGGAATCACAATCATGGGAAAGACAGCTTACTTGACAGTTGTGCAGAAAACCATCATTGACACCCTCCATAAGGAGGGAAAGCCTCAAAAGGTAATTGAAAAGGAAGTTGGATGTTCCCAAAGTGCTGTATCAAAGCACATTAATAGAAAGTTAAGTGGAAGGGAAAAGTGTGGAAGAAAAAGGTGCACAAGCAGCAGGGATGACTAGCCTGGAGAGGATTGTCAGGAAAAGGCCATTCAAAAGTGTTGGGGACTTTCATAAGGAGTGGACTGAGGCTGGAGTCAGTGCATCAAGAGCCGCCACACACAGACGGATCCTGGACATGGGCTTCAAATGTCATATTCCTCTTGTCAAGCTGCTCCTGAACAACAAACAATGTCAGAAGCCTCTTACCTGGGCTAAAGAAAAATAGAACTGGTCTGTTGCTCAGTGGTCCAAAGTCTTCTTTTCTGATGAGAGCAACTTTTGCATCTCATTTAGAAACCAAGGACCCAGAGTCTGGAGGAAGAATGGAGAGGCACACACTGCAAGATGCTTGAAGTCCAGTGTGAAGTTTCCACAGTCTGTGTTGATTTGGGGAGCCATGTCATCTGCTGGGGTTGGTCCACTGTGCTTCATTAAGTCCAGGGTCAACATAGCCGTCTACCAGGAGATTTTGAAGCACTTCAAGTTTCCTTCCGCAGACAAACTTTATGGGGATAATGACTTCATTTTCCAGTAGGACTCAGCACCTGCCCACACTGCCAAAAGCACCAAAACCTGGTTCAATGACTGTGGGATTACTGTGCTTGATTGGCCAGCAAACTCGCCTGACCTGAACCCCATAGAGAATCTATGGGGCATTGCCAAGAGAAACATGAAAGACATGAGACCGAACAATGCAGAAGAGATGGAGGCGGCTATTGAAGCATCCTGGTCTTCCATAACACCTCAGCAGTGCCACAGGCTGTTAGCTTTCATTCCATGCCGCATTGAGGCAGTAATTGCTGCAAAAGGGGCCCAAACCAAGTACTGAGTGCATGCTTATACTTTTCAGAGGTCTGATATTGTTCTATGTACAATCCTTGTTTTATTGATTGCATGTAATATTCTAATTTTCTGAGATTGTGGATTTGGGGTTTTCATGAGCTATAAGCCATAATATCACAATTATGACAAATCACGGCTTGAACTATCTTGCTTTGCATGTAATGAGTCTATCTCATATGTTAGTTTCACCGTTTAAGATGCATTACTGAAATAAATGAACTTTTGAACAATATTCTAATTTTCAAGTTTCACCTGTATATTCTAGACATTTGGTGTTAGAAACAAATGAATTCATACTCAGCTGGAGTTATCATACTTGGTTATAGACGTTTAGATAACCATTAAGTTGCAGCAAAGAGTTACTGTATAGAAAACACTTGTAATGTTACACAAGGAAACTTATTTGGACAAACATTAGACAATTTAAAAAAACAAGTAAAAGGAGAAAAACAGGTGGAACTTAAAGGAAAAATTGGGCAGGATTAGTTGAAAAGAAGCTATTCTTTTCCTTGATTATAAAGTATCATCAATGCAATGGACATAAGCTTGGCAGACAGTGGAGGACAGGGTGGGGTGGGATTCTGTGATCCATGAAGAGTCCACAAAGAGTCAGACGCAATTTTGTGAGTGAATAACAACAATTACTGTGATTCTCACAAAATAAGGCTGGGCCCTTTTTTTTTTTTTTTTTTGACCTCTGAAAAAACAGCTAGGCCGTCTTTTCGGGAGTGACTTAATTTCCTCCCCCATCTAGAGCGGCCCATACACACATACCTCACCGCGAGGCCTCTTCTATCAGCCAACGAAAGCTCCCTGAAGGCAGAGTCCCCAGCTGCTTCGGGGTGTTGTGTGGCTATCCGTGTCCCTTCGCCATTAGGCAGTCTCTTTTGGGCGATGGAAGCTCCCCAAGTGCAGTCACCAGCCACTTCTATCAGCCTGTAGAAGTGGCCTCGTGGCGAGGGGAGTGTGTGTGCACGCTTGCCCCAAGGCCGCTTCTACTGGCCGATCGATGTGGCTGGTGACTGCATTTGGGGAGCTTCCATTGCCCGAAAGACACTGCCTAAAGGTGAGGGGACACGGGTAGCCACGCCATGCCCTGAAGTGGCTGGGGACTCTGCCTTCAGGGAGCTTCTATCAGCTATCGGGGTATTCTAGCCTAGGCTACCTGCAGGGCACTCCTAAAGGCAAGTTTTCTCCCCATCCCCCCACCCTTCCCCCCCATTTCTCTTCACCTCGTGTAGTTCTAACGAACAATGTGAGAAATGGCGGGGAAACACATGGTTTAAATAGGCCTAAATTTTGGGGGCGGCGCTTAATTTCACCTCATGCCTAGAAATCATGCTGGGCCTTCCTATTGGTGGAGGCCGTATTGTTGGAGAAACACGGTATTTTCCTTATTATTGTTTTTGCTAAAGCAGTGGAACATAGCCCATAATGCAGAGAATTGTCTATTTAAAGAAGAATGAAAACCATGGTAATAAAAGGAAGACACTCTTGGATAGTTGAATTTACTGAGTTTGGCATGCTGTATTCTACACTGCATCACAAGGACAGAGAAAAACCTAAGTGGTTTCTATAAATTGGCTTATTATGTTTCTTTTACAGTTGATGCCACTCACTTTAATTAGCTTAGTACTTTGCAGAAGGCAGATTTTGTGAGCAGACTTTCCCGCTTGCATTGAGAGTTTTCCAGGTTATGTTCTTATCTGCATTATCATAGTGACTCTGCTCTGCAAAACTTGGGTGTCTCCACTGGTGGAGAGTAATAGCACTGTATACAGCTAATAGAAAATGTGTTTGAGAAATGCATGAAAAACTG